GAATTACTAGAGGCTTGGTGCATGAATTCGTACTCTGGTGTGGTCCATCATCCTGGCCTGCACCCTTTTACAATCTGAGATTCCGTAGGGGATGTCCAAGAGGCAGCATAGGGGATGTCCAAGAGGCAGTTCTCAGGTTATGTCAGACTTGACTTACATCATTTCATTGTTACTTTACCATCCCCCATTTACATTATTTAAAAAAAAAAAATGTTCCATCATTTCCTTGTATGTACATATGTGCTTTATGTTTTTTATTATTTATTTACCACAAGTAAAGGTCAGGAATTGTTATCTTTCTTTTATTTTTTTATTTAATACTTATTGTTCAGATTATTACAATAGTTTCTCCTTTTTCCCCAATAGCTCCCCTTCACCCAGTTCCCACCCCACTCTCTGTTCTTACCTCCCCCCACTGTCCTCATCCATAGGTGTATGATTTTTGTCCAGTCTCTTCCTGCACCCCACACACCCCTTTCCCCCCAAGAATTGTCAGTCCACTCCCTTTCTATGCCCCTGATTCTGTTATATTCATCAGTTTATTCTGTTCATCAGATTTTTTCATTCACTTGATTTTTAGGTTCACTTGTTGATAAATATGTATTTGTTGTTCATAATTTTTATCTTTACCTTTTTCTTCTTCTTAAAGAATACCTTTCAGCATTTCTTATAATACTGGTTTGGTGGTGATGAACTTCAGCTTTTTCTTATCTGTGAAGCTCTTTATCTGCCCTTCAATTCTGAATGATAACTTTGCTGGGTAGAGTAATCTTGGTTGTAGATTCTTGTTATTCATCAATTTGAATATTTCTTGCCATTTCCATTTGGCTTGCATAGTTTCTGTTGAGAAATCAGCTGACAGCCGTATGGGTGCTCCCTTGTAGGTAACTAACTGTTTTTCTCTTGCTTTTAATATTCACTCTTTGTCTTTTGCTCTTGGCATTTTAATTATGATGTGTCGTGGTGTGGTCCTCTTTGTATTCCTTTTTTTTGGGGGGGGGGGGTTCTCTGCACTTCCTGGAATTGTAAGTCTACCTCTTTCACCAGGTGAGGGAAGTTTTCAGTTTTTACTTCTTCAAATAGGTTTTCAGTATCTTGCTCTCTTTCATCTACTGGCACCCCCATAATTCGGATGTTGGTATGCTTGAAATTGTCCCAGAGGCTCCTTACACTATCTTCGTGTTTTCGGATTCTTCTTTCTTTTTGCTTTTCTGGTTGAGTGTTTTTTGCTTCTTTGTATTTCAAATCTTTGACTTGATTCTTGTGATACTTTAGTCTGGTGGTAGATCTATGTACAATATTTTTTATTTCAGTCACTGTATGTTTAATTTCTAGCTGGTCCTTTTTCATAACCTCTAGGATCTCACTAAATTTATTGGCCTTTTCTAGAAAATTATTGAAAAACCTTACAACTGTGGTTTTGGATTTTATGTCCAGTCACTTGCTTTCCTTCATTTATTTTATTTGTGATCTGTTTCTTTGTCTCCACATTTTGGCTGCTTCCCTGAGTTGGTAGAGTAGCTTTGTATGCTAGGTGTCCTATAGAGTGCAGTGGCTCAGCCTCCCCAGTTATCTGAGGTGGACACTCTTGGTGCACCCCTTTGTGGGCTGTGTGCACAGTCTTGATGTAGTTAAGTCTTGACTGTTGTTGGTATAACTGGGAGGAATTTACTTCCAGGCTAATTGTCTGTGAGGATCAGCTGTGTCAATGCTGGGAGAATTTCTGTGCTGGAGACACCCTTATGAGACAGGATTTACAAAAGCCTCTGTGCTCAGGTTGGATTGGAGTCTCAGGGCAGAGCAGACAGCATTTGTTTCCCCATCAGCCCTGCCTTAAAAGGCCCCTTGGTCTTAGTGCCCCACAGTAATCGCTACAAGCACCTCTGAGAGAAAACCACCCTCAGGTTTTGCTCACTGCCAGATAGTCCAGTTTCTCTCTGAATCAGTCTGGGTCCCCAGAATCTCGCCCGGAACTGGAGTTCAGTGCAGTTTTTGTCTCCCTCCTGCTTGAGAAAGGCAGCCATGTACTCGCCCACTCTCCGTGCACGTGTGTCTCAGTACCTCTGCCTTCTGCAGCTTCTCTGAGACTCAGTGTGCTTTTCTCTTCTAGTTGTAGAATTTCCACTCAGCCAACTTTTCTGTGTTTTTGGATGATATCTGTTTTGTCTTTTAGTTGTAGTTTTGAAATTATTGTACATGGCAGCAGTTCAGGTATTTACCTATGCCACCGTCTTGGTTTCTCCTCTTAATTTTTTTTTTTCTGTTTCACTTCATTACTGCTGTGTCTGCTCCATGTGAGTGATGTAGGTGCTTATGTAAGTGGGTTCTGACTTACAGCGAAAATTGCTTTATGTCACATTTTATGGAACGGACGTAACCCAAGGACTGCCTGTATAGATAGTGAAGGTTTCCTTGGTTAACAGTGCATGAAATACGTCCACATCAGCTTAGGGCTGAAATAATAGACAGAACATTGAGGTGATTGGGTGGAGAACAGTGTTTATTGGTGCAATCAGGCAGTGACATCTGTTACTCTATTGCTCTCCTGACTGGATTCCATTCCGGGGCCCAGAGACCGCCTCCCTTGTACTGGCAGAGAGGCACCCTTCCAGGTGGGAAAGAGCCCTTCCAGTCACGCTCTGCGAGGAGTGGGCAGCGATAGGCTGAGTGTGCTTTCCCGGGAGAAATGCACGTGTCTCTCTCTCTCTCTTTTTTTTTTTTTTTTAATAAATTTTTATTGTTCATATTATTACAAATGTTCCTTCCCCCTCCCCCCACCATTGCTCTCCTCCACCAGCTTCCCACCCTACCCTCTGCCCTTTCCCCACTCCCCATTGTCCTCATCCATAGGTGCACAGTTTATGTTCAATCTCTTCCCACATCTCCCTCTCCCCTTTTCGAAATGCACATGTCTCTTAAACATCAGTGACTCACTTATTTACTCTTTCATTCCTTCTTCCAGACAACAGATATTTAGTGAGCATCTCTCAGAGACCAGATGCCATGGCAGAGCTTATAAATCAGTCCAAGCAAGCCTCATGGAACTTATAATCTCTCCATTTTAGATTTATAATCTTCACTAGGTATTGTCCCTCTCCCTCAGCTTCCCAAGTTTCTGAAATAGTAGATTTTGGCATATTTTTTTCATTGAAGGCTTTTTAAAAAAGATTAGACATTATGAAAAGTTAAAGAGAAATTATATAGTGCAAGTTTTAGAGGGAAATTCACAGGATTTCACTGGCTCTGGTGCACATGTTTTGTAAAGTCACCCTGAGACTTTCTATTTGAGCCAGATCTCACCCGAGTTCTGTGTCCTTTTGTGTGATTGTGATTATGGCCTCCTTCCCTGGACTCCACGGCACTTGTTCTCTTTGTGCTACTGTCCTGTCTTTACATTTCTTTTCTACCCTACTGTGTAAGATCGAGGCCTACATTATAGGCCTGTGTCCTAAGAAAAAGGCAAGAGAAGAAGCTCACATTCACTGGTAACGCTATCGCTCATAATTTCTGATGGCACCTTTATTGTCACTCACCAGGCTGTGCATCTCGATTGTCCCCTGAGGTGTGTGTCCTTTTGCCAGGACAACTTATTGAGATCTGATCAACTTCTCTGCTGCTTGCAAGGCTAACTCTGTGTGACCCTGTGTTTTTAACTTGCTGGTGTCTTCTCGGTTTAGTACAATGCAGGTCACTCTGCATCACCCTCACATTCTTCCCAAGATGGAAAGCTCTTTGTAAATTTAAGACATCTGTAGCTCCTTTCGGGTTGTGCTGGGCATCGTTGCTCCACAGTGGTCAGTTCAGAGCCGTGGCTCCCAGATGTCCAGCTTCTAATGGGTCATTTGAATGAATAACACTTGTTGCTAATCCTTTGCAAGACTGAAAAAATGTACATGATAAACTGCAATGATGCCAGGTGTTATGATAGTATGTGAATTTATACATTCCATAATGTACTCTGCTCTAACTCATTTTAAAATGTCACAGAGCTCAGAATCCAATCCAGTGGATAGAAAACCTCTATTTCACAAGTAGCTCTTTTCACGACTAGCTATTGTGATCATATTTCGGGACCCTTGAAATCGGTTCTTTTTGTGGGACTGCAATCATGTGAAGGCCTCTCTGGCCCTAAGAGGATGCTGCACAGTGGGCAGTTCTCTGCTCCAGTGAGAAGCCGCGGGGGGGTGGGACGGGAGGTCGTCACGGGGGAGCAGGCCCAGACTGTGCTTGTCAGACATTTGGACAAGTTTGCCCTTCTGGTAGGTCAACATGGTCCTGAATCTGGGCCTCCGTCCCTACCCACTCCGTCAGCCTTAGGACTATTGCAAACAGCCTGTGGATCTCTGATTCTGAGAATTTCACACACACACAAAAACAGTAAAAACAAAATGACCTATCTCATTATATCTATCAATTATTACAATTTTGCTACTCTTGTTTCATCTAATTCTTCTTTTTTTTTTTCTTGGAGTATTTAAACTAGATCCCATACTTCAGTGAAATACTTAAGTTGTAATGTTAAATAAAAATTTGAGACAAGCATTTAAGTTTATTTTTCGTCTGAAATTAAGACCCTATTAGCTTTGTTCCATGTTGATAAGTTTATTTCCCCTAGGTTCATTTTTGTCCGTCTTTGATGACACCAAAACTCTATTTTGCTTGTCACAGCAGCAGTTATTATATTGGTTCTGTATAAACTCAGAATGCAGCTACACGATGTAGATGTGTATTTATAAGCTATGTAAAAGCTTTGCTTTCGTTGGCTATTTCTGTTCCTTGGTAGTCAGGTTGTTAATGGAAAGTTTTTACTTTGGCAGTTGATGTTTGGGGTATAGTTTTGTGAACAGAAACCGGGTCATTGGGGTAGAGCTGGCAAGATGTGTTTCTGCTCTGAAACGATGGTAGATCGACTAGTTTTATGCACGTGACTAAGAGAAAAGGGGACCTTTTTGACAGTTTCCTATGCTTAAACTCAACTTGTGCGACTGTTATCTTTTTAGCCGAGCTGCCCCCTCCATATACTGCCATCACCAGCCCCGACGCTGTGGGCATCCCAGTGATAAATTGTCGCGTGTGCCAGTCGCTGATCAGCCTGGACAGCAAGCTCCACCAGCACGTGGTGAAATGCACGGTCTGCAATGAAGCTACGGTAAGTGGAGTTTCTACCAGTAAAAGCATAGATTGGTACCTGACATCTTCTTCCTCAAGAAAGTACTTCAACAGTGTGACCTAAGCGTGGGTGCAGGCTGGACACAGGGATGGCACATCTCTTCATCCCTGCTTTTTTCTCTCAGCTGTCTATTCCTCATGAGCATACAAGGATCCTCCTGGTGTTTGCAGCTCACTTCATGAGAAAATGTCACAGACCATAGACAATTATTCGTAATTATATTTGTTGTCTATTCACATCACAGTGAAATCCATTTTCATTTTCACTAAAACGAAAATACACTGAAGTTCACCTCAAATGTGGACTTTGTACTTATGTGGAAAATTACTTAAACCTATTTTATGTTTGTAGGATGTCAGTGTGGCTTTTCTTATTAGGAATTTATTGACATTTGTGCCAAATCCTATATAATAAAAGGCTAATATGCAAATTGTCCCCTCTACTGGGAGTTCGACCATGGGTGGGGCCAGCCAGCCAAACTGCCCACTGCCTCCCCTTCTGGCCAACCCACTCCCAATGCCCCCTCCCCCCAACCAGGGGCAGGCCTGCCAGCCAACCTCCTGCATCCCTCCCTGGCTGTGCCTGAATTTTTACACTGGGCCTCTAGTTATTTATAAGTTGCTTGGTATTTTATTCCATTTGCTTGATACTAATTTGGTGAAATGTTTAAAAAATTTGAAGGGAAAATTTCTTTTACTAAACTTTGGGAAGAACAATCATAATGTAAATATCTGTGTTTTCCGATGGTCTTAGGCGATCCTGCTAGCAGGTTTTGGATCGCTGCTGTAGAGCCTAAGACTCTCCAGCACCTTCACAGCCTGAGGGGCAGCCCACAGGTCCCAGGCCACGGCTGCTTCGCCCCTGGTCCTGCGGACACGCCCCCCGCTGGGCCCCCAGAGGAGGTGCTGCCGTGAAGACACAGCTTCACTTCTAAAAGCAGCCTTTCCGGCCTGTGCCATAAACAAGGGCATTAAAACAACTTCAACTCATAAGCAGATGGATTTTAAATCATATTAAACTAAATACACAACACACAACCCATAAAAACTTCTGTTTTTATTATATATTTATTTATTTATAATATATTTTTATTGATTTTTTACAGAGAGGAAGAGAGAGGGATAGAGAGTTAGAAACATCGATGAGAGAGAGTCATTGATCAGCTGCCTCTTGCACACCCACTACTGGGGATGTGCCCATAACCAAGGTACATGCCCTTGACCGGAATCAAACCCGGGACCTTTCAGTCCGCAGTCGACGCTCTATCCACTGAGCCAAACCGGTTTCAGCAAAACTTCTGTTTTTAAATAAGTAGAAAAAGAGGAGTTTTAAAGCTTTACACTTGCATTTGCAAGTCAACAAAAAAGACCAGGCTGCGGATGCAGGGTCTCCAAATCCCTGTGCATTTAGCCTCTGCCATCAGCCTGGCTGCTGAGAAGGAGGCGTTCACACAGCGGCAAGAGGTTTGACTGTAATAAATTATTTTTGGACATAAAGAAAGTTATACTGAAATTTTTATATCGTTACTAATCCTGTTGCATAAGAAATGCAAATAATTGTGAATATCCCAGAGAAAATGAATAGTATCCAATCAGATTGTCTTGTGTGGAATCAGTAACATTACAGAGGATGAAAACACGTAGGAAAAAGGTGTTTGAGGAGTGCTTTGTATAAAACTTGCCAATGTTCATGTAGTGTGATCTTAAATTTGTGAATTGAGGAGGTGCTAGGCAACTGATGCTTTTGTGGAGAAATTCTAGAGAGAAAAGAGCAAATAGGATGGACCAGGGTTCAGCAGATTGGCTCAGTGTCACGGTGATTCCTTCTCCTCGGGTCAGCCGTCTCTGGGAGGAACCTGATATTCCTGTGGCGATGGAAAAACAGTCCTCACAACAACAAAATGCAGAACAGGCTAACACAAGCCCTTTCTATTTCAGTAGCTCGGATTGGAAAGAGAAGTGTGTGTGTGTGTGTGTGTGTGTGTGTGTGTGTGTGTGTGTGTGTGTGAGAGAGAGAGAGAGAGAGAGAGAGAGAGAGAGAGAGAGAGAGAGAGAATACGGACACATTTTAGCAATCTTTAGAGAGCACGACATTTAAGGTGAAAGAAGAAGCCATGCCTAGGACAAGTGAGTGGGAAACTGGAGAAGCAGCGAGAAGGGGGGGCTCGCGGCCATGGCAGGTGCGGAGGCCTGGCCCTGCCTCCGGGCAGCTGCGCTCCCTGCGGACTCCTGCGCGTTTCTCTCTGCCTTAGAGCGGCCGCGGGGTCCTGGGTGGAGTGCCCAGCTCGGCCTTAGGGATTCACTTTGCCGAGTGAGAAGGAGACCTCAGGCCTAAGGACCACGCTGCTTCCCCTTCGCACTGCCCAGCAGGTGCAGAGCCTGGGCTGGCGCTGAGACCACGCTGCACACCTCCTTATTCAACGGCCCGTCCTACAGAGAGGAGCTGTGGTCTAGACGTGAGGTGGAATGAAATTAAAAAACAAATCTTATCATTTGCCAAGCACACATTTGCTTAAAGGTAAAATTTGGAGATATTACAAAAATTAAGGTTTTCTTCATAGGCTGGTCTTCTTGTCATTTTAGGTAGCATAGTAAATACATTCTGGGTGTTTGTGAATTTTAAATATTCAGATTTTTTATATAATTTTTTTAAATTACTATATAATGTTTAATAAAGTATAGGTGGCTTATTGCTAACTTTTATATATTTCTACCAAGATTATTTACTTAAGTTTGTTAAAATCTTTTTTATTTGAGAGAGAGAGAGAGAGAGAGAGAGAGAGAGATATCAATTTGTCATTCCACTTACTCATGCATTCATTAGCTGATTCGCTGATTCTTGTTCCTGCCCTGACCGGATTGAAATCCAAACTTTGGCACATCAGGATGGCACAGTGACCTACTGAGCTACTGGGCAGGGCTAGAAGTCTTTTTAAGTAAGGTGCAGACTTACAGAGAAGTTATAAAAATAATAGTAGGTGGCAGAGAGTGCTCGTAGTTTCTTCATGCACAGTCCCCACATAGTAACATTTTGTCATATCAGCTGTCTCTTTCTAAATAATAAACAAATTATCATTTTGCATAATATTTTTTTATATTGATTTTTCACAGAGAGGAAGAGAGAGGGATAGAGAGTTAGAAACATCGGTGAGAGAGAATCATCAATCAGCTGCCTACTGGGGATGTGCCCGCAACCAAGGTACATGCCCTTGACCGGAATCGAACCCGGGACCTTTTAGTCCGCAGGCCAACGCTCTATCCACTGAGCCAAACCGGTCCCGGCATTTTGCATAATATTTTAAAATAATTGCAGTCATGATGCTTGATTACCACTAAACATTTTAATGTGAATTTTTAAAAAATAAGACACCTAGCCCAGCTAGCATGGCTCAGTGTTTGAGTGCTGATGCATAAGTCAAGAGGTCACTGGTTCTATTCCTGGTCAGCGCACATGCCCATCTTGCAGGTTTGATCCCCGGTGAGGGGAGTGCAGGAAGTGGCCTCTCACTCTCTAGTCAATAAAAACATATAAAAATAATAATAATAGAAATAACACATTCACTTAAACAATTACAGTGCAATTATCAGGTACAGGAAATTAACATACTGTTATCTAATTTTTTTACCTAATTCATGTTTGTCCAGTTATTCCATTAAAAATAAAAATCAGACCCAAAAGTCAATGTAGAAGTACATGTTGCACTTGGTTATCATGTTGCTTTAATCTTCCTTTATCTGAATGTTGGTCCTGCTTTGTCCTTTATTGCCGGGACATTTTCTGAAGTGTACAGGCAGGTGCTGTGTGAGACATACCTGAATTTCGTTTCTCTGACGTTCCCTGTGGTTCCATTCGGGGCACACATTTCCTACTGTTGTGCCCAGGAGTGACATTCTGTTCCTCTCAATGCTTTTAAACTGATTATAAAATTTAAAAAAATAAAATAATTGCTAACATCAGAGCTATTGTAAGTTTTTGTAAGTTAAAGGGTATCATAAAATTAATCCTTCAGCCTAGCTGGTGTGGCTCAGTGGTTGAGCGTCAACCTAAGAACCAGGAGGTGATGGTTCAATTACTGGTCAGGGCACCTGCCCGGGTTGCAGGCTCCATCCCCAATGGGGTGTGCAGGAGGCAGCCGATCCATGATTCTCTCATCATTGATGTTTCTATGTCTCTCTTCCTCTCCCTTCCTCTCTGAAATCAATAAAAATATATTTTTTTAAAAATGATCACTTCTGCTATCCTAGTGAGTAAAGTTTAGGAAAAGTTCACATTTGTCATCGACTCCTCTTCGTCCAAGGTTCTGAGTGAGCCTGCTCCTTCTCTGGACGGGCATGAGCACCTGCCAGCCAGCCAGAGGGCCTTGTCTTGTGAACTTTTAAGGGAAAACAACTCTCATTTGTGCATTAAATATTCCTCTCATATTAAAAGGCCCTTACACACTAATTTTGAAATATTTCCTTTGTTATTAACTCTACAGCCTCCAAATTTCATGGAGTGCTTGCCAAGAGTAGACTATTTGAAAGCATTCAGGATGCACTTGTCCTTAAACTGTAATTTGATACTACTAACCTTTGTTTTCAAAGAATTAATGCTTTTTTATACCCAAACAAGCTTTGTCAGTCTGCACTTTGGTTAATTTGCTGTGTTTGTATTTCCTTTCCTTATCTAGCCAATCAAAAATCCCCCAGCAGGGAAGAAATATGTTAGATGCCCTTGTAATTGTCTCCTCATTTGTAAGGACACATCTCGGCGAATAGGCTGCCCGAGACCCAACTGGTAAGAGATGAAGATTCATTCATTCATTCATTCATTCATTCATTCATTCAACAAGTATTTATTAAAGGCACGTATGTGCCAAGCATTGTTCTAAACAGTCTGTCCTCATGGTCATTACAGGACCTAGATTATTTTCTTGTGAAAGAAATGATACAGTTTAAAATTAATGGTCACAGGCATTTGCAAGATACAATATTCCTGAATGAGCAATAGAAGTGTTCCTGACGTACTTACTGTGCTGTAATAAACCAGTGTTAAACTTACACATTTAAAAACAACTAATTCATCTGCCTTTTATGTAACTCATCTTCGTGTAGAAGTGTTTTGTTCTAAGTGCCGTTGTGCGCCTGCCAGGGGCTGCACTGACCTTTGAGGGCACATGCTGTACTGTACGCTCTGGAGTTCTTGCCAGATGCCACCATGGATGTGCCCAGGTGGTAGAATGCCTGGCCTGGACTGGTGGTTTCTATGGTTTCTGCCTTTGGACCAGTGCATCATTCGCAGCCCTCCCTGGAGGGAAAGATGCCGCCGCTTTCCTTTCTGTCCGACGGGGCAGACACCAGGGAGCCAGGCTGCGCCGGCAGGCATGGCGGACAGCAGTGGAGGGGGCTGGGCAGGTCTCACTGTGTGTAGTATTTAGTGTTTGGCCACACTCACGCTGTCTTCCTAGGTAGGGAATAATAACTATTTGCTGATTTGAACTTAGAAGAACAGCAGTTAAATCATTCCCACGTTTATTAACTGAATTGCAAATGGCAGTTAAATAGTACCCAAGTGTTTGTTTTTTTTCCCCTCTGTGATTTTGGCACCAGAGTGGATTTATTAACTTAATTTTGATGAATAGAACCTATTTCCAATGCTATATTCCTAGCCCATTGGTGAGCTAATGAAGCTGTTTCCTTTCTCTTCCCACAGTAGGCGCATCATTAACCTGGGCCCAGTAATGCTCATTTCTGAAGAACAACCAGCTCAACCTGCAGTGCCAACCCAACCAGAAGGTGCCCGGGTGGCGTGTGGGCACTGTGGGAACACCTTTCTGGTGAGTGACTGACACGTCTACGTGACATCGCTTCTAAATGCTGATCATAACCGCATGGGTCTGGCCACCACTCATGGCCAGCGAGCGGTTCTTTCCAGTGGAAGCTGACAGGAAACTTCAGTGGAGCCTTTTTAAGAAACTTGGGCACTCGGAGGTGCAGCCAGAGTTCGCAGCAGCCGCTGTGAGTCAGGCACGTGGCACCTCTGCTTGGTTTGTCTGCCGAAAGGGCCTCTCCAGGGAAGCTCCTGGGAACCCCGGGGCCTGATGAGGGGCAGAGTCTCCCCATCCTCCCCTTCTCGATGGAGCATAAAGTGCAGGTTTATGGATTCAGAAAAAAACCTTATTAGGATTTATCAGAGATTTTCTTATTTAAGAAGATAAACTTGCAGTAAAGGGGATGAACTCTGGTACCTGTAATTAGATAAAGCATTGGGTAAAAAGTTAGAAGGTTAAGTAACTAGGTATGACCAAAAGTTTGTTACCACTTTTACCTTTAACCCCACATCTGACCTTTAAGGCTAATTCCATAAGGACTCATGTCAGGAGGGCTTCCCACCCCGGGAGCATGACGTTCCTGGGGACCTGCGTGGGAAGAGGCCTCCTGAGGATTTCTATAAATAAAACCAGTCACTAAGGGTGAAACAGCTTAAGATTCGTTTTTTTTTTCTTCTAGTTTTTATCGTAGTAAAGTCACTTGTGCACATAATTCCAAATGTCAGCTTTCTGGGAAAATACTGGTAGCCTCTCATCTCTCACCCGCGCCACCAGCACTTGGTGTCTCCAGCTGCTCTGCTGACATCAGCTTCCTGGGGTTCAATTGTTTGCTTATCCTTTTTCTTTTCGATGAAACGATGTAAGACATTACCTGCCTGCCCCATTCATATTCTTCTGTCGTTCCATCCTCCCAGGAGAGTTATATTTTATTCAATTGATACCTAGTGTTTACATATTTTATCATTATTAGGTAAACGGTACTCACAGCTGAGCCAAGTAATTTGCTATATTCCTCTCCAGTATGGCTTTCACATTTTTCTTGGCTTTGCTAATTTTCCCTCCCCCTCTGGAATCTACGTTTCTTTGGACGAATTATGAGTTCTTCCCATTTCTTTTGCAGAGCTGGGACCCCCTCCCTCTCGGAAACACCAGGGAACCCATGACGTTCCTCCTGCCTCTCAGCTGCCACAGGCTGCCCCTTCACAGTGTCTTTGTGGCCCTGGCACTGTCTCCCACGTAGGGTCCCGGGTTTATTCCTTCTGCTGGAACACTTCCTCTCTCAGCTTTCCGAGAAAGGGTGTAGGAAGATAAATTTGAGCCCTTTCATTTTTTAAACAGTTTTTAATCTAATTTCACGTTCACTTTATAATTCGTTCAGATGTGGAATTATAGTTTGATAATTGTTTCCTCTTAAAATGTTTAAGGTTTGCTCCACTGAGAAATTAAATGCTCTTCTGACTCCTGACCCTTTCTCTGTGACCTTTTCCCTCTTTATTTGTATACTAGAAGCCCAGTGCACAAAATTTGTGCATGGGTAGGGTCTCTAGCAGCTGCCAGCTGCCGGCCTCCCTTCCCCACCTGCCTGCTGCTACCACTGGCCGGGCCTGCCTTCGCCCTCTCCTTGGCCCGGTGCACCCGATCACCTGCTCCACCATCCTCCTCAGGGCCCATCGGGCCAGGCTGGCAGCACCTCTACTGCTACCCATACTCTGTGCCACCCCCTGGTGGTCAGCGCACATCTAGCTCCCAGTCCCTGGAACTCCCGTCCATGAGGACAATTTGCATATTAGCCCTTTTATTATATAGGATTCATCTTTCCTCATTCATGTTGCTTAGGGCTCTGAATGGCATTTGAAAATGTTCTGGGGTGGGGAGGTTGTGGGGGTGGCAAGCTCTCTGTTCTCAGTAGTCTCTCCTGGTCCTCTCTGCTGGCTTTGTTCGTGTTCTCTTTCTCTCTCTCTCTTTCTCTCTCTCTCTCTCTCTCTCTCTCTCTCTCTCTCTCTCTCTCTGAAACATTCTCATCCCTTTTGACTTCTTCCTTTCCTTAGTGGGAGATAGCTCCAACTATATCTTCTAAATTGAATTCAAAATTTTAATTTCAGATGCTCTAACTTAACTTTTAATTCCCAAAAATTTCCCTGTATTCTGATTAATTTTTCATTTTAATAGTTTTCTCTCCTTTATAGCAACTTTCTGCAGCTCCTATTTTTTCCTGAGACATGTTCTTTTTTATGCATTGTCTCTCTTTCTATCCATTTTTCTATCTGTTTTTCTCTTGTGATAGAGGTTTTATTCAAAAGTTTATTTGAGGGCAAATTTCTGATTGTAATCTCCATGCATGCAGCAGGCATTCAACTCTTTCTCCTTTTTTCTTTCCCCCACCCTCATTCCTTCCCTTCCTCTCTTTCTTCTTCTCTCCTTTTAAAGAATTGTCAATTATGAGTGCCAATAAGTCTTTTTTTACGGTAAGTTTCTATGGAAACAGTCCCAGAGGATGCTTTGTGAGGATGCTTTCTAGGATCTGAGAAAGGGAGTAGGATGAAGGTCTCACCCCTATTCAGCCAGCAGAATGGAACCACACCTGCTGCTAGAGTGCAGTCTTATTCTTGCCCCTGCTCAGCCTCGTGTTCCTCATCTCCCAAACCTCTGTTCAGGATGCATGCTCTCCTCTCGCCTGTGTTGGGGAAGGAGAGGTTCCTGACTTTGTGGTGTGAGGGAAGTTTATAACTGGTGTTCCTACTGCACCACCACCCTCACTCCCCCGAGAGGAAGCCCCGCTGCTCTGTCCCGTGGGCCACCTGCTCCACACACAGGCCCACAGGCGGCCGTACCCACTGACCAAGTGGGTTGCCAAGCTCACATCAGCTTTCTAGTGTCCCAGGTCTCTCTGGTTCTCTTTGTCCTCGTGGTCTTATACATTTTTAAATTCATTTATTATCATTTTAGTCAGGTTTGGGCAAGGAAATGGAAATGCATGCATTTGGCCAATTTATTACATTTAGCCAGAATTGCTGTGATTTTCTGACTTAGTAAGATAAAATAAATCTTCTTTCTGGCTTTTATATTCTATTGATCAAATCAGTGACAAAGTGTATGAATTAGAGGATATACTAGGTAAGTTAGAGGGTATACTAGCTGAGAGCAGTTAACTTTCTTTTAAAAATCATTATCTTGATTTATAATAGAATGATATACTCTATAGGTATTGATACATGTAGTACTTAGACTACATTAAATATATATATATTTTTTGTTTTTTTTAATCCTCACCCAAGGATTTTATATATATATATATATATATATATATATATATATATATATATATATATATATTTCTTTTTTTTTTTTTTTTTTTTTTTTTTAAGAGAGCGAGGAAGGGAGAGGGAAAGAGAAACATCAATTGCTTCCTGTATGAGGAATTGAACTCACAACCTTCTGGTATATAGGACAGTCCTCCAATCAACTAAGCCACACCAGCCAGGGCTACTTTTTCCTTTCTTATATATAAACTAGAGGCCTGATGCACAAAGATTCATGCAAGAATGGGCCTTCCCTCCTCTGGCTTCTGGCACTGCCTTTGTTCTGGCCAGAGCCACTTTTCTGCCTTCCTATGTTGCCCAGAGGCTCCAAGAGGCTGGGGTGTTATAGAATGCCCCTGCCCCTGGCCGCTTGGCACCTGTGTATGCAAATTAACCCATCATCTTTGTTGGGTTGATTTGCATACTCACTCCTGGTTGGCTGGTGGGCTTCGTGAAGGTAGGGTCAATTAGCATATTTCTCTTTCAGTGTAGACAAGTCATATTTTGAAATACCATTTTAAAATCTTCAAAAGAGATTTATTTTCACTTACTTCAATGAGGTCCTCTCCATAATTACCTTGAATTTTGCCCAGGTCTGTTTTGTATTCCAAATCCTTGTCCTAAATGCTCTTTGTGGCCACATTATAAATAAGTTCATTTTATTTGTTAAATATCTATATTGAATGAGTTTCCGGCACAGGCTAAGTGCTAGGGAGACAGGAAGACACACTCTCTACCCTCATGGGATTTCCTAATCGAATAAGAGGAGAAAGACAATTAAGACATAGGGGTGGGGCATATCTAGGGAGGGGTTTGGGATGGGAATGGGGGAATAAGGACAATTATGTGAGACCATAATCAATAAAAAACAATAGATAAAAAAGACATGAAATATTAAAATGTTTATATTTAATTTTTTGCATTATTATTATGCTGATCATGACCAGTCACATCCTTTTTCTTTGCCCTTCCAGCTTTAACTATCAGAATAATTCATTTGCTTACTCTCTACCTTGTTTTCCCCTAGACGCTACAAGGCCTGAAAACAATTGAGATAAGTTACAAAGTTCATAGCATTGAAAATATTTAGTTTATGTACTTTGTGGTTTCCCACATTAATAGAATAAGTAGCTGCATTTCAATAATGAATCTATATACTTATGTATTTAAAAGGCGAGTCCTCAAGATTTAAAGGAAAGAAAATTTTGAAGGTACATGAAATGTTTGTATTCTTCTGGAGTGAAGGAGACATAAATCTTAAAGAAATGACCCTAATCATAGCAGCGCATTCAGTTTCCTTGTAGAGCAACCCACTTGCGTCAGAGCCTCGGGAAAGTCATGGGAACTGTTTCAGATGGGAATCCCACGCTTCCTCTCAGGAGGAGGGCGTGGTGGGGAAGCTCTCCACCCTGAAGAAGGCAGTTGCGATCCTAGGTGATGTTTGAGCTAGAAAAACACTCTATCAGAGTGGATGGTCTTCAGTTGTTTTCTTTGCAAGCCCTCTCTCTATTTATTTTACAGTGGATGGAATTGAGGTTCAACACTCTGGCGAAATGCCCACACTGCAAAAAAATGTAAGTTCCCCGCCATTGGACATGCTCTGGGAAGTATTTGTGAACAAGTTAAAGATTTAAGAATTTACACTTAATTAGATTTTGATCTTAAGACATGCCATGAAATGAATGAATGTGTAATATATTTATACTTTTCATTACGAAAGGAAATCTTTAAACCCCTTAATATATTTCATTTTAAAATTTAAATGATTAGGCTTAATATCACTCTCTGAAAGGAAACAAATTTATAAAATTATCAGTAACGTGGTGAGAATTTGCATATGTCCGAAGAGGTTATAATCTATTACAAATAATCTAAAATTCATATTTAAATGGGCTATCATTTAGGAGAAAAGTTACTTGCTAGCTGTTCTCCTGCCTGAAGGCAACATATCAGTGGGCAAAATAGAAGATATGGTCTTTTATTGATTCCAGAGAAGAAGGGAGAGAGAAAGAGGGAGAGAGATATATAAACATCAATGATGAGAGAGATGCACACCCCCCTACTGGGGAGTAAGCCCACAACCTGGACATGTAATCTGACTGGGAATCAAACCAGGACCTTCTGTTTCATAGGTCACACTCAAACCACTGAACAACACCCACAGGGTGAAGATACATATATATTTAGTAATAGTATTTTTCATCCTCATCCAAGGAGTGAGGATATTTTTTCCACACATTTCAGTGCGAGTTGGGGGGTTGCGGGGTGGAGATGAGTGGAGGGTAAGAGAGAGAAGGAGGGAAAGAGAGGGAGTCGGGGAAGAGAGAGAGAAAGTGAGAAACTTCAATGTAAGAGACACACCTTCCACAGGTGCTCTAGCCTGGTGGGCAGAGGATGTACGGTATCAGACCTGAAACCCAGGTACATGCCTTTGACCAGGAATCAAAGCCAAGACGCTCTGGTAAGCAGGCCAACACTCCAACCACTGAGCCATGCCAGCCAGGCTAGAAGACATTTTATTAAAGATATTTTATGGCACCTCCAATTCACCCCAAGATTCTGTGATGTTCTCAGGGGACTAATAGGAATTTCTAGTCTATATTGGTGCTCACAGCTATGATTTATTAGTGTAAAGTGCACAGGCCAAATCAGCACAGAAAAGACACACGGGCCGACGTCTGGAGCAGGAGAAGCAAGTGTCTAAGAGCTCCCGCCAGGGGAGGCACAGGACCCGCACGCCCTCCAGCCCCACGTCAGTGCGGCCTCCGGAGAGGCTCGGTGCAGACTCTGGGCCACGTGCTGGTTGGAGCAGGTCCCACAGGCACCTGCTGAACAGCACAAACGTAAGTTCTAGAATCCCAGCAGGAAAGCAGGCGTTCAGTGCTACCACATGGATTGCACAATTAGGCATGGTAAGCTGGCAAGCCACCTAGTTAGGCAATGGTGAGATCTTCCCAGACCTTTCGAAGACTGCAGTCTCTGGCCTGCTGCATTAACAGCATGCTGCACAGCCCTCGCTAGTTTGGCTCAGTTCCAGGTTTGATTCTGGTCAAGGACATGCACCTTGGTTGTGGGCACATTCCCAGTAGGGAGTGTGCAGGAGGCATCTGATCAATGTTTCTCTCCCATTGATGTTTCTAACTCTTTGTCCCTCTCCCTTCCTCTCTGTAAAAAATATATGTGTGTGTGTGTGTGTGTGTGTATATATATATATGTGTGTATATATATATATATATATATATATATATATATATATATTCTGCTGCACAGAATTTATGCTGGTAATAAAATTTTAATTTAAAAATTATTCTCCACATATGTGTATGTGAATTATAATTTAAGCTAAGGAAATTAAACTGGAATGTTTTGACAATTCAGTGTTGAAAATTAAAAATAGGAGTTCATAGTTTAATCTGTGTGATATTTAGTATGATATAAATATCTTATCTGTTTTAATAGAGAAATCCTAAGAATGACTTCTAAGAAAAATGAATTAAAAACTGTCTGAGAAGTAGAGTATATAAAATAAAACATCTCCCTTTATGTCTGCTAAAAGTGGTCCCAACTAACTATAGCCCTATAAGCCCTTGGGGAGAAACCAAGATGGCGGCATAGGTAAATGCCTAACTGCAGCCTCACACAACAATTTCAAAAACACAACTAAAATACAAAACAGACATTATTCAGAACTACAGGAAAGTTGACTGACTGGAAATTCTACAAGTAGGAGGAAAGAGAATACCAGAAGGAAAATCAGAGGAGCTGTAAAAGCCTAAGGTACGGAGACATGGTGCGCGTGTGTGGAGAGGATGGAGCCGGAGAGGAGGGGTGGCTGAGTGCCTGGCTGGCGTTCCCTAGAGGGAAGGAGATAAAAGCTGAACCCCAGTTGTGGGCGAGACCCTGGGGACACAGGCTCATACAGAGGGAATCTAAATATAGCCGTAAGACAATTCTTTACAGCACATTTCTAGCTTCAAAGGAACAAATATTTTCCTTTTTATTTGTGTGAAATTAATCATCTGAATTCATAACTTCGTTGCATCCAGTAGAAGTCTGTACACAAAGAAACAAAATGAATAATTCCTAATAATTACACTGAAAAAATATATATACTCAAGGGACACCTCCAGACACACACATAAGTATGTGACTATGCCTGTGCAGTAGATGTATTTTTACAAAAACGAAGAAAATTAAATTGCAGGTATCTTCACTGAGAATATGACATTGAATTAAAAATTTCTATAGAAAATAAAGAGAACCCGTGCCTGCCTGTGATTGGCAGCCCTGTGCTCAGCACCAGGCATCCCGTTATAGGACCAGCTGTGTGTCCCCAGATCCAGGAGTTATCATCCTCACGTTACAGAGGAGGAGCTTGAGAAGGTTCAAGATGCAGCTGACTGCTTTTGCTTGCTTAATTAGAACGGTCGCCGATTTTGCAAGTAATAAAGAAGCATTGAATACATACCGTGTTTCCCAAAAAATAAGACATCCTCCAGAAATAAGACCTACTTACAGGTTTCTTCTGAGTGAAATATAAGGCATCCCCCCAAAAATAAGGCCCCCCCAGGCTCTGTCTCAGAATGCTATTGCTAAACATGAGAGATTTGGTCCACTGATTCTGAAAGAAATGAAGTCACAAGAAATTCATCAGGAAATTCAGGAATTAGATTGTTATGATGATGTTCCAGAAGATGATGACATGATTGTCATTGAGTAAATGAGTAAATTCTTGATACTGTAGGATTGACAGTTTGTCTGGTTTGTGTTGACAAATACCGTACTACCGTACCATATACAGGTAATAAATTTCCTTTATTTTCATTTAACAATAAATGTGTACCGTATTCTTCTTCATGGAAAAATAAGACATCCCCTGAAAATAAGACCTAGAGCATCTTTGGGAGCAAAAATTAATGTAAGACAATGTCTTATTTTGGGGGAAACAGGGTAGTACTCTGTGATGAGGACATCACAAGACAGTGTATTAATGTGAAGAACTTTTATCAGTTACTTAAGGGCAACTTACATAGAAATGCACATGGGGTAGTCAGCTCACGGGGCACTGTGAAGAAAGAACGCTGGTAGAACTGGGTCACATGCTAACCCAGCACAGCGTTGGAAGGAAATGCCCCTCTCCCCCATCCCAGCACTCGCAGTCACAGCTGATTTCTCTCTCTTTGAATTTTTTCTTCATGACAAATGATGAATTATGTGTAAAAGTAAGATTCAGAGTGAAAATTTTATTTCTTAAACACAAATAACAAGTACCCTAAAGTTACTTTTAAGGTGAGGAGTTACTCATGACTGTGAAGCTGTCGGGGGGGGGGGGGGGGCACGAGGAGGGAAGAGGGGGGCGCCTGGCCCAGCTCCAGCACCCATCTCTTTTTCCTGTTGCTGGTGGCCCTCGTTCAGTCACCAGACACCATGGTCCCAGATGGCCAGGGAGCCCTTGAGTTCCAAAATACAGGCTGAGTTCCATTTCCATGCAAGTGTCATGACAGGCCTACAACTATAGAAATGGTGATTTAATCCATGATAATGTTTATTAAATACTAGAGGCTTGGTGCATGAGATTTGTACACGGGGTGGGGGGAGCGGTGCGCGGGGGTTGTCCTTCAGCCCAGCCTGCACCCTCTCCCATCTGGGAACCCTTGAGGGCTGTCTAACTGCCTGTTTAGGCCCAATCCCAGTAGGACCGAGCCTAAACGGGCCGTCGGACATCCTTCTCACAATCTAGGACTGGTGGCTCCCAACTGCTCACCTGCCTACCCTCCTGATTGCCCCTAACTGCTTCTGCCTGTCAGCCTGATAAATCCCCTAACCACTCCCCTGCCAGCCTGATTAATGTCTAACTGCTCCCCTGCCAGCCTATTTGCCCCTATCTTCTGCTGCAGGCCTGGTCACCCCTAACTGCCCTCCCCTGCAGGCCTGGTCACCCTAACTTCCCTTCCCTGCAGGCCTGGTCCCTCCCAACTGCTCTCCCCTGCAGGCCTGGTCCCTCCCAACTGCCTTCCACTGCAGGCCTGGTCTTTCCCCACCGCCCCACCCCAACTGCCGTCCTCTTCTGGCCTGGTCACCCACAACTGCCCTTCCCTGCCAGCCATCTTGTGGTGGCCATCTTGTGTCCACATAGGGGAGGCCATCTTCTGTCTTGGTGTGATGGTCAATTTGCATATTACTCTTTTATTAGATAGGATGAATTCAACAAATAATCCTCTGCTAGTTACTATGCTAGAAGTAAAAGATATAACCTTGCCTTCAGGAAATTTTGTCTTGTGGGTAGAGAGAAAAGAAAAACTATCACCATAAAGTGTTCAGTGCTTTGAAATAGGTGTGCCCCACATTCTCTGCTTTAAAGCAAATATGGATTTAAAAATCTCTGGCTTCACATCTTTTAGTAGATTCCAAATTCATGGCCATGGCATGTGTAGATTGTACACTGCACGACCCATAGAGTTGGTGTGATCCTAGGTTTGGCTATTAGTGGCATAGAAAGTCTACTGAAGAAGGGCATTTTCTACTTATTAACATTAATGCACCAAATGGAATTATTATAGGCTCATTGCCCAAAATCCAAAATGAAGCTCCAAACTTCTTAATAAGGTATGTACAGTATAGGTATTTGCCTAGTACACCTATTGATATCTTTGTTATGTTTTCTCCCACTTATACACACTACCTATGTCCCTGCCTTAATGAATTCTTCTACTTCTGTAAGTGTACAATGCAGCTCCTTATTCTCAGGCTGCTAGGCCTGGAACAACCTGGCTGACCCCTTCTCACTCCTGTAACCTGGAAAACACTACTGAACTCCACAGGAAGACGTGGCTGCAGCAGGAGATTCTTACCTGTGCTGAACCAAGGCCTCATGGAGCAGCAGTCTATTATACAATCTCGGGCTGCACATGTACTTTCCAATTCTTAGACGCAAGAGAAATACACTTCTTAAGCTACTGTATTCTGGATTTCACTATAATAGAATTCTAGCATGTGCTCTAAATATCTCATACTTTTTAGGGTAAAAAGAATTATTAATATGATCACTTCATCAGAAATATAACTTCTGGCCCTAGCTGGTTTGGCTCAGTGGATAGAGTATTGGCCTACAAACTAAAAGATCCCAGGTTTGTTTCAGGTCAAGGTCACATGCCCAGGTTGCTGGCTCAATCTCCAGAAGGGGGCGTGCAGGAGGCAGCTGATCAATGATTCTTTCATTATTGATGTTTCTCTCTCCCTCCCCCCTCTTCTCTTTCTCTCTCCCTTCCTCCTTCTCTCTTTCCCCCCTTCTTTCTCTTTCTCTCCTTCTCTTCTTCCTTCTCTCTCTCTCTCTCCCTCCATTCCTCTCGCCCTCCCTCCATTCCTCCCTCCTTTCCACTCTGAGATCAATAAAAATATATTTTAAAAAGTAAAAAAAAAAATTTTTTCTTGGAAGATCATTACTGACTACATGTTTTGTGTGTGGATATTTTCAATGACCAACACTTAAACTTTGTTTAAAGCCACAATAATATAGCACATATCCACTAATTATGATTGTGATTCATGTTAGTCACTAAAAGTGACATTTCTATGTATGTGGCATGAAGTGTGTTTGTGCTGAAGCCGCAGAGGCTGGCGTGAGGAGCGGTTATTAAATGCTAACGCTCCTTCTTGCTCTCGTGACTGCAGCTCCTCAGTGGGCTGCGCTCTCCCGCGAAGACGCTGCTGTGCATACGTTGCCATTGGGATGATGTGCTTCTTCATTGGAGTTGGATTAACTGTGAGTCTTACTTTCCTCTCGACTTTATCACAAATGAATGAAGAGCCCGGCCCAGAACCTATGGGCAATTGGAGAAGTTCAGTCCATGGACCTTTTAGCAGAGTTCACCCATCCAGGGAAATGGTGTCTTGGGACCCCGCTGAAGGTTCTGTCACTGGGGACTTTACTACCCATTTAAGGGAAGCCCCTTGGTTCCACTTAATGCCAGAACCAACCTGGCCATGGCCAAAGCCAAAGCAACACTCCCATCAGCTATGCAGGTCTGAAAAACCAGTCTTCTCTTTATTCAAGTAAAGCAGAGGCTATGGTCAGCATGAGGGGCTGTTTTCAGAGGATGCTGAAGCTAAGCAATTGGCACAGGGTATCATGGGGAGAGGAAGGGCTGATCTGTTTTGCTGCCATTTACTTCCCAGGCTTCTTTGTTGCACCTGTCCATATATCACTCGCCAGGTGAAATTATACAGATTAAGTTCCTTTTAGAAACATGTTTTAGTGGGGCTTTTTGCTTACATCATAAAATTTGTAGTTACTATAACAGCAGCATCTTAATAACTTTAACCTGCTAGTGACAATGAAAACCACACCAAGTCATTTTATAGGGATTTTGTAGCCCCAAGGATATTGTTCATAAAAAGCATATATGAACCAATATAAGTTCTCCAGTTGATTACTCAGGATGGTTTCTTTGTATTTTAGTGGTAATTCCAGTTTGATCCTGGGAGCATCCACTTACTCCAATGCCATTTTAAATCTCCCAACACAAGTTATCTAAGCAGATAAAATTTTTTTAAAGTTTCCAATGTTTTGTATTTATATTGCTTTCTATTTTAGGTTGGCACCCAAGATTTTGCAAGGCGATTTCATGCAACCTATGTTTTGTGGGCAATTGCTTATCTCTTAGGCTTGATCTGTCTTATCCGAGCATGTTACTGGGGAGCCATAAGAGTGAGCTATCCAGAGCACAGCTTTGCATAAGCTTGCTTATGAGCAAGTGATTCAGGTGAGAGTATCTAGCAGTTCTTGATAAGCTGCTCTGGACATATTTAAATCATTTATCCTCATGGATTCCATTCTGATTTATGTATAAAGTTTCAAGATTTTGGGAGTCTTTCATGAACAAATGCTCATTGCACTGCGTTATATGCAAATGATAATTTGTTTGCTGCTAAGTTTTTGAGCTCTGAATAATAAAGCCGTGTCTTTGTGTCCTTTTACATCTCTTAAACATGTTTTGAATCTGCCACTAAGTATTAAATCACCTTTCATTTTTAAAGTTATTCCACTACTTGCTGATCTGTGAGTATTCCCAAGAAGTGTTTATAAATGTTTCTATGTATATTTACATTTTAATTAACATATCAAAATTGCCTGCTTTAACATCTAAGCAATATGCATTTTGCTTGAACTGCTTTAAGACCATAGTGACCTTATTCAGGAAAAGCATTTGAGTGTACTTTAAAATACTTGATATCCTTATCAGATAAAAACCATTTCTAGATACTGTTCGCTTGTTTCTTGTTGTTTGTAGAAAAATACACTATTTTGGTAGTAATTTAAAATACAATAATGAAAATATTTACTTGTCCACATTTAAAGATGATGTTGGATAAATGTGTTTTTCTCCTCAGAGATCACAGGACTTTTGTCTTTTATTTTTGTTTGTTGTTTTATTTGCCTATTATACAAGTTCTGGTGTAGATTTATGATTTTAATGTAATAAAATTATAAATGTATTTCTTTATGTATTTCTTTGTAATCCCTGAAGGAAACATTTTACATAACATGTTTTCTAATATTTAACCATTTCAGGAAAGATATATGTACATTTGGTTGTCCTCTTCATTAATCATGGTAAATGTTTCCTATTGGGATCATCAGGGACTACTTCTGTGTGAAAGAAGCCTGTGCATTTTATTTTAGCTAACATGTTGAGATTAGAAGCAGTTACTCTTACCATTTTTCTCAAATATAGCTGGTCAAGTAATCAAAAGTATATTCATGAAAATAGATTACAGACAACACAGTTCAAAGAATTCACTAGGATGAAAAATAAATTGCTTAGTTGAAAAACACTATTCTCAAGCCCTTAATGCAGAATTAGAATGAGAAGATCTGAATGAATTAATTAGTTCCTCCATAGACAGGAACAACATGTTAATTTATTTATGTCCCTGGTTAGTACAAAAATGTGCTCACCACACAATTTGGAAGAAAATACATGTAAACTTGAAAGAGTATAGTTATCACTGTACTAGTATAAATGTGGTAGCTCAGGATTACATGTACCTTTGAAAGTACACTAATAAAGATTATTGTTTTAAAAATTACCTTATTATATTCAATTAAAAAAAAGATATAATTTCCAAAATTGCCTTGAGATCTTATTCTGAAGTTTTCATGTTCAAGAACATATATTTCTTTACATATAATAGTCACTTATTTTTTCTAGTATTTTCATGGTTTTGTTTTAAAAATATAGATTCCATATCTATTTATAATATACTTGATATAAAGTATGAAATAAGAATCTAAATTATTTCTTATCTTATTGGTTAACTGGTTGTAATAGTATTATGTATTAAATAACCCATTATTTTCCTATTCATTTAAAATCTCACATTTAATTAGAGGGTGGGACAAAAGTAGGTTTATATTGTTTGTATGGAAAATAATACACTGGTTGATAAATAATAATAATTACAAGAATAAATTCTGTGTTTCATTTTATTGTTTGGTTCTGGACCACTGCAATAAAATGAAATTCCATTAAAGCAAGTAACTCATTTTTTTTGTTTTCCAAGGGCATATAAAAGTTTATGCTATACTGTAGCTATGAAGTGCACAATAGCATTATGTCTGATAAACAATGTACTAATACATATCTTAATTTAAAAATTCTTTATTGTTAAAAAATGCTGATCATCACCTCAGCCTTCAGCAAGTCCCAGTCTTTTTGCTGATGGAGGGTCCTTGGCTGCTAAAGGTTGGAGTGGCAATTTCTCAAAATATGCCAGCACTGAAGTCTGCTGCAGCGACTGGCTCTTCCTTTCATAAGTGACTTCTCCGCAGCATGCAAGGCTGTTGGACAGCATTTTACCCACAGAACTTCTTTCAAAATTGGAGTCAGTCCTCTCAAACGCTGTTACTGCTTTACCCACTAAGTTCTGGAATACTCTACATCCTTTGTTGCCAATTCAGCAACTTTTACAGCATCTTCACCAGGAATGGATTCCTCACCGAGAAACCACTGTTGTTGCTAATTCTTCAGATGCAATTTCTCAACCATTAAACTTACATCGTGAGAATGCTGCAATTCAGGCCCATATTCAGGCTCTAATCCCAGTTCTCTTGATGTCTCCACAGCTGCAGTTACTCCCTCTGCTGAACTCTTAACTCCCTCAAAGGCATCCATGAGGGTTGAAGTCAACTTCTTCCAAACTCTGTTAATGTTGATGTTTTGACCTATTCCCATGAATCATGAATGTTCTTAATGACATCTAGAATGATGAATCCTTCCCAGAGGTTTTCATTTTACTTTTCCCAGATCCATCAGAAGAACCACTTTTAGCTAACATGTTTCTTTTGTAGCCTTACCAAATGTATTTCATAAAGTTGTAGCCTTACCAAATGTATTTCATAAATAATAAGACTCAAAAGTCAAAAATACTCCTTGATCATGGGCTGCAGAATGGATGTTGTGTTCCCAGTCATGAAAACCACATCAAGCTCCTTGTACATCTCCATCAGAGCTCTGGCGTGACCATATGCCTTGTCAGTGAGCAGGAATATTTTGACAGGAATCCTTTATTCTGAGCAGTAGGTCAAGCTATGGACATTTTCTTTCTTTTTTAAATATATTTTTATTGATTTCAGAGAGGAAGGAGAGGGAGAGAGATAGAAACATCAATGATGATAGAGAATCACTGATCAGCTGCCTCCTGATGCCCCCTATTGGGAATCAAGCCTGCAATCAAGGCACATGGCCCTTGGCTGGAATTGAACCTGGACCTTTTAGAACGTAGGGCAACACTCTATCCACTGAGTCACACCAGGCAGAGCCCTGGACATAAATTTTCAGCAACCACGTGTTATGCCCAGATTTCGTGATCCCCAAAAACCACCAGGGAGCCAAGTCCGATGCAAAAGCAAAAGAGCAGCACAAGCTCTGTTCCACTTACACTGACGCACAGCGAGGCAGAAGAGAGTGAGCTTCAACAGATTAAAGGGATTTATAGGGGTTTGGGGGAGGGGTGATGATGTCACTGCTTTGGCTGACTCTCATTGGTTGGGTGAGGACTAGGGTCCAGTTACACAATGACATACAAAATGGAGGATCAGGAGTTAGCCCTGTCCTGCCCTTTCATTACAAGGAGTTAGCCCCGCCCTGCCTGTTCATTCCCCCTTGTCTTATGTGCATGAGTCAAATCATTGACTCAGCCCACTTCTTTTAAGGGCATTTGCTGCTCTGTTATCTAGCCTTATTAGCCCTGGACTTTCTCACAGATCTCAGATTCTGATAAGCCTGAAAAGGGGAATGGGAGAATTTCTAGCTGCGTCTTTAAGCCCCCTAACAGAACACGGTGAAAAGTGTCCAAGGAGTCGCCAGGGGTTCTTGGGTCTCATTGAGGTGCAGGGGGTCACAAGGAATTTCCTTCTTTGTCGCTGCCACCACTACTCAAAACAATCCCTGGAGGGGATGAACGCTGGGTGGGTGGAGACAGGGAGCTTGACTCAGGTCCCAGGTGGCGAAGGAGGTGCTCCTACCAAGGTGTTTTCATCTGGCAGTCCACTGGGAAAATCGTTTGCCTCCTGCCGACAAAGGTGGCGTGGGAGGAACCAGTGACCCTTATACTGCAATCAAACTCTCTGACCTTTCTGACAAGCTCCTCTGCTTGAGTGTGTTTCCATTAATATTACTGATTTTAAAACTATAACTTAAGAGTTCACACACACACACACACACACACACACACACACACGGACCAAGTGGCCCACAAAATATTTTCCTTTTCTTCTAAAGATTTTACAATGTACTGTAATCATTCATCACATCAAACTTGAATGGCCAATTGAGATAAACAGTTCTGAGACTGTTCCTCCACCACTGATCAAGACTGGGTGGCAGCAGGTGGCAGAGATGAGATTCATTTAGTTTTTGAGCTTGCTGGGCAGACTTGGTGACTTTGCCAGGTCAAGCTTCCTTCTTGTAAATAGTTAACTTTAGAATTTGGTCCCTGCTTTTAACCTTTTGGACCACAATTGTTACAACTTCATACCTTCAAATTAATAAACATAGACAGAAATTTGTTAGGCGGGCTGATTCCCCTCTGACAGAGAGCAAGCATCTCTGGGAAAAAGGAATCCCAGTGGCCACTCGGGGCGGTTTACTATGTGTCAGAGCACTCAGCCTTAAACAAATTAAAGGTTTCTTTCTTTATTTTTTAAATCAGACCAAACAAGTAATATATTTTGAATTTTTAATTATTTAAGAGAAAACACATTTTATTTTCTCAAAAACAAGTTGCTATACTCTAGGCATTTAGTTACCACAAATTATATAACTTCTCCCAATCCAATTTGAATCTTAAACTTTCAGAGCTTCCAAGTCAAATATTTAGCAGTTATTTATTACTAAACTTTTATATTTTTGAGAATAAATTTTTAAATCTAATAATTAACTTTAAACCTTTGGCCAATTGTCCTTTTCTGGAAAGGCCAGCTAGCAAAAGGTGAATGCAAATGAACACACTCTTCAAAGATGGCTGCTGGCGGGAATTGGATTACCTGCTCTGGGGGGAAGGCATGTCCACCCCTTCATTAAAAAAAGGTGTAGCTTTACTTTCAGAACTTTTAATTTTTCAGGTAGCAAATTAAATACTTAGCATTTCCCAAATCAATAATAATTTTATATTTTTAAAGATACATTTCAAATAAAATATAAGGCATATTTAATTAATAGACTAACTTCAATTCTC